TATGCTTTAGGACTAAAGGATGTTACCCTTATCCAATTTAAGGCACTAAATCTCAGCCTAAATACCAAGTGATAGGGTATACAGCTTCTAAGTTAAGGCCATGTGGAATAGGAAGGCCAAGAAATGAGTGTATCCACTGTGCAAGACACACTCGTTCAATGGACAAAATACATTTTTCAATAAATATTTTCCCTAACTCAGACAATTTTCTCTCAAGAAATAGCAGCTATTTTTAAATGATACATATTAAATATAAAATATATTGTTATAAATATTAATTAAATTAGTGTAAACAACTACAGGTGAAATACTCTCTAAACACCTAGCTATGTCAATTTGACACTATAGTTTTCACAGTCTCTTATTTAATGTACAGTGTTCTGTTTGTTTGTTTGTTTTTAATTATTTTAGATCAAGAAAATCAGTGATAACTCCAGATACCAAAATATCAACTGAAAATGCTGCAAAAACCTATAAGTAGATGAGTTTGGTAGAAAGTTTTAAATAATCTTGAAATTATAAGTCATTAATATGTGAGTATATTTAAAATACTATATTTTTATTTAAAAATGTATTGCCAAACAGGGCCCCTACCCTATTTATACCTAGCATTTAGAATAATGTCTGCACCTTGCATGTGCTCAAGTTAGCACCTAGAGTAAGACTTGATACATCTGTTGTTTAAATGAATCAAATTACAATCTACTTTTACCTTATACTGCACACACAGTTCCCAGCATAAAATCCTAATTGGTTTCCTAAAAAATGCCTATTCTGTAGATAAACTACACATCAACACTACAACCCATTTTCCCCAATTTTCAGAACAGACTCCACAGAGATTAAGAAAAGGGAGGAAAATTAATCAAATAATGCAAAGATGCTATTTACTTATGTATTAAAAGAGAACAACGATTATGGCATCATCATCATCATCATCACCATCACCATCTATCCAAACATAAGTTGCAAGTTTCCTAACTTTGTAGTTACTTGATGGTGCTGGTTGTGAGAATTTCATTTTATTACCACATTTATTACATAAGGAATCCCAGAAATGTAAGTAGTACTTAAGCAACACTGCTTTGTTATGATTTAGTACCATATGTACTACCTAACATTCCTGTTTTCCTCAATAGCTGCCAAATATTGAAGGCCAAAAGAAATCCACAGGGAATCAGCAAAAAGACATATTATGTAAAATCTTTAGGCCCATTCTTGTTGGCATCAAATTTATTACTTTAAATTAGCCTCTCCTCTACTGAGTTTAAATCAATCAACTGATTTTGCTAAGAGCTCAGCACTATCCTAGGTGAGATTCTGTGGTTGAAATATTCAATCAATAATAAGAATGCAAATCAAAATAGATAGTGTTACATATGACAAGTGGTCTAAATGTTAAATGTATAATTAATGGAACCAAAATGATCACAGAGGCCTTAATGAATGTGACAACTGAACTGGGCTTTAATGATGAGTAATTAGCCAGAGGAAAGGAAAGAGCTATTTCAGCTCAGAGGTAGAACATAAGCCACATAAATAAGAAATAAAGTAATATATGGAAAGGAAAAGCAGCAATGTATTACTGTTTAATAATTATACTTAAAACATTAATACCACTTTTCATGATTTAGACTTTTAAAATGTCCTCTAAGTATTTTCTATAAATTATAATTATGTTTATAACCTTCAGAATGACCATATTCCTTATTTCTACAATATGTTTATGACCAATCAGAAACATGATAGAACCAAAGCAAAGATAACTAACATGTCTTCTTTACCATATTTTCACTAGAACACAACAATCTTACTGAATCTAAAAAGTAGACACACTAAATAGTCTTATCACCCATAATGTATTATGAGCAATATTTAGAAATCTACCGATAAATTAACTCACTCAAACAGGCTCACCATTCTGATTTCTATTTTGTTTTCAGGTAGTTCTAAAGATTTCCAAGTCTCAAAAATATTATTCAGTTCACTCCATGGACTCTTTCTCATATTTTAAAGAGGACAAGTTTTAAAATTTTTGATTAACAAAAAACATTTATTGAAAGGTGGTTTCAGTATTTTCTATTTTATTTATCAAAGATGCATATCAGCACTTTTCATCAACATAACATAAATGACTACTGTCCACAAACTGAATGGAAATAAATCCAGGCAAAATCAAAGAAACTGATGTCTAATTAGCCCATACTTTGTTACATGCAAAGATATGCTTTCTGTTTACTTTTTGAAGACCTCCCTTACAACTTTCCAGAACACTTAAAGTCTAGTGACCCCAGACTGGGTACTACAGGAATCATGTTGTTCATTCTGTCTGACTCAAGTAAACAATCTGACACCTGTGTTCCCTCAGCTCCCCGTCACTTTGTTAGTTGACTTTGAAAGGTCCTAACTGTTCCTCTACTTGCCAGCATTTCTCCAGATGTTTCTCCTATTAGAAAGCACAAGTCTCTTTTTTAGTGTAAGTTATAGAAATGTTTTCAATTTATTACTATTATCTTAAAAAATGTGATGCACATTTTCTTCTACATTTCTAAAAGTTTAGCCAGAAACTTAGGTATTAAACTATGGCCAGACCCGGAATATCATTTTAAATCTGGAGTTCTCAGACACCAGACCAAACCAAACCAATTAAAAAAGGTTACAGCTAAACTCTACGCTATCCTACCACCTTTAATCATTGACCAAAATTTCAAACTTGATGTTTTAGAGTAATTTCTAAAAAGGACCTGTTCTAAGCTAAGGTCTCTCCTTCATTACCTTAAATCATTGATTTGTAGCCAGGTCTCTTAAAATCAGTTTTTCTACACCTTGTCTGAATAGTTCATTATTCTCAACTATTACAGGTAACAGTCAAGCCTTAAAACCATAATGTTGCATATTAATAGAATTAAAACCACTATTAGAGGTTGAAAATCCATTTCTGTAATTTTTACAATAGCATTTGCTATCATTTTATTTAGTAAAGCAACTTAATTCCAACTCCAGATTTAGTATTTATAACACCTGAAAATAACTGGCGAGTTTTTGAGTGGGCAATTCATCACCATAAATTAAGAGATCCTGATCTTTTATTGATTATTCATTTACTACCTTAGTAGGATTTTAAGGGAATTATTTAAGCCAGGCCCTAAAGCAGGTTTCTTATTCACCAAAGCAACCCTAGGCTACATCAGAGAAAAGCTAGGCTGTCACTCAAAAACATACTACCATATCAAAGGTTCCTTCTCCCAAATTAGATTAGCTCCTCTCTGAACAGTAGGTTTACCTGTATTAAGGGCCAAGGCCTTGGCTCAAAATAAGCTGCGCATAATTTGCTAGTTTCTATTCATTTTTTTCTCCCTAGTAGCATGGATAGTCAAGGGCATCCCTTGATTATAATAAAGCCAATGAAAAGGGTATCAAAAAAGATAAAATTAAAAGGCAAATACGCACCCATGGGTGCATACACACACTCAGGTATTTCAAATATTTTCTCCAAAAGATCAAGTTATAAGGCAAAAGGAAAAAAAACACACCACATTTCGAAATATAATTAAAACTTGGAATATTATGTAAAAAGTTCAACATTAAAGGGAGAGTTATAGAAACCTAGAAATTTTCTTCCTGCTTCTCAAATAAACATAAAATAATTTATTTTTCAATGTATTAAAACCATAATAACCTTCAGTAAAAAGCTACATAGTCCATATTTAATTTTAAAATGTTCATAGATTATTTTTTCCAGATATATATATCTGTCTAGACATACATTTTTAAAAAATATATATTTTATTGATTTTTTTACAAAGAGGAAGGGAGAGAGATAGAGAGCTAGAAATGTCAATGAGAGAGAAACTGACCAGCTGCCTCCTGCACACCCCCTACCGGGGATGTGCCCGCAACCAATGTACATGCCCCTGACTGGAATCAAGCCTGGAACCTTTCAGTCCGCAGACCAACGCTCTACCACTGAGCCAAACCGGCTTCGGCTAGACATACATTTTTTAATAGTTAAAAATCAGTTATCCACCAATTCCAAAATATATAATAAAAAAAAAAAAACACAACACTTAAAAAATGTAAGGTTAACATACGCATATAAACACAAAGAAATGTATGTTATTCTAATAAGCAATTTTCTAAAACTTTCACATGGACTTTATTAATATATGTTTTGAAATTGATAAACCCTAAATAACCAAATGCATACAAAATTTAATTGACTATCAATGTAACAGAATTGTTTCCCTACTAAAACCCACTTCCTACTACCTTAGTATTCCTCCTAAGTATATGACATAAAACATTGGTCCCTAGCTGGTTTGACTCAGTGGATAGAGTGTCAGCCTGCATATTGAAGGGTTCCACAAGTTCATTTCCGGTAAAGTGGAGTACCTGGGTTGAAGATTCGAACACCAGCCCAGGTTATGCGGGAGGCAACCAATCGATGTCTCTCTCACATGGATGTTTCTCTTTCTGTCTCTCCCCCTCCTTTTCACTCTCTCTAAAAATCAATGGGAAAATATCTGCAGATGAGGATTAAAAAAAACAATCAAATAAAAAAAACACACATAAGTTATTTCATAGTAAAAGGTTCTGCTACTAAATAAATCTGAAAATCCTTGTACACTCAGACATCTGGAGCTGCACAAAGCATAGGAGTGCATTACGAGCAGAGAAAGCAAGAGAAAAGAGAAAAAGCCTGCTTGTTTCTTGTTTTATTTATATCCACTTCTCCTACTCATGTTTAACAACAAAATCTTTTGTTAGGTTGAAGCTAATATTTCACAGAACATATTTGAAAGAAATAGGCTTCTCCAATTACTTTTCTAAAACTGCTGCATGTACCTTGCACTTTGTACCAAGGTTAGTAATAATACTCCAGTATGGTGTTTTATATTTGCTCCTCAAATGTTACCGTTTTCAAGTCTTGCAGGTAAGTTAAAATCTTTTTTAAAAATCTTACAAGACTACCTAGATGAAGAATTCTCTTTTATACTTACCTTTCTATAATGCTTGTCACTTTCAGTTCCATGATCTGTTGCTCTAAAAGTGGTTTCTCCAGATGAACCTTCAAGATAAACAACAGTCCTTTAAATTCTCCAATGAAGTCAACAATCTAAATTACAAATTATGTTTAGTTAAGATGTCCCCATTTTCCCCTCCTTTGCTCCCCTCCACACAGCTCCTGCCCCCCATCCCAGGCCTTCTCCACACTACTGCCTGTGTCCATGGGCTTTGCCTATGTGAACATATGTTCTTTGGTTAATCTCTTCCCAACCCTCTGCACCCTTCCCCTCTGAGATCTGTCATTCTGTTCTATGCATCCAGGTTTCTGGACCCATTTTGTTTGTTGGTTTATTTTGTTCATTAGATTTCACATATAAGTGAGATCATGTGATATTTATCTTTCTCTAACTGGTTTATTTCGCTTAGCATAATACTCTCCAGGTCCATCCATGCTGTCACAGTCAATAAAATAACAACAAAAAATTTTTAAATGGTAAATGGATTTTAGAGTATCCCTTTTTTTGAAAGTTGCTTTTATTTTAAGCAACACACTAGTAACCCATGCAATAAAAAAAAATAAAAAATTGTTCTTTTAATTGTAGCATGTGTTTAACCTATTTTTAAAAACATCACTGAAAATTACAATAAAAAAATAAGATAGTCTTTGATAAGAAGTACTGTACATGAGTGTACTTACAGTTCAGCCATATACCAATGTCATTATGTAAAGATTACATACAGTAAAAAAATAAATTTAAAATGTCACCTATGACAGGACAGATGAGACAAACTAAAATTACTTTTCATTTCAATTATCAAAAACAATCAGATCAATTTCAAGAAAATATTCTGGAAAAGCAAACTCTCTTTTTAATAGCTTTTATCTTAAAATAAAGATACATATTTAGGAATTTTAGTTTTACTACAAAATAATTATTTTATTATTTTGACCAAAGGAGAATGAATTTGCCCAATATAGTTCTGGGGTTTTGAAATTCAACATAAGCAGCATTATAAATTTGGTCTGAAATTTTATTTGCAAGTAGTTTATTAGAAGCATTTAGAAGGCATGTTAAGATCAGGAAAAATGTCTGTTTACACACCTAACAAGAGAAGTAGGTCAGAAGCTCCTATGATTTCACTAACCAATTTGTGACCTGTGAAAAATCAGCAAAAAAGGAAATAGAAATGTAAAATTTTAACAGGAATAAGCAAAGATGTCTGAGATCTCAGGTTGTATATTAAGATAGGGTAGTAATTGGGCAAATACACCAGGATTAACCTTAGTAAATTCTACTCATTATGGTCCATCATAATAAATTTGTTTTAAAATCACGAAATTGACTCTAACTCATTATGAAAAGCAAACACATAGGAAGTCTCATCCACTTGTCAAGAACAAGTGATATTTTTTCCCTCTCTGTCTAAGGCCTAGCTTGTTTAAGTTGTTGCAAACTTTCATTCTGTTGGGCTAAAAAAAAATTAAAATCACTGCACAACAAAACTTTATGGTTTATGATTTTTGTTTTAAAAAACTGTTTAGTTTGTACTAAATGTTTTCATTTAAAAGATGGAAATAAACAAGTGAATACACCTAATTATTTTTCCTCTGTGGTTCCTCACATTTTAAATGAGATCGAACACAGGTCTTTCCTTACCTGTGGTGAAAAAGTCCTTCAATAAGCTGAGGCTTTCAAGAATCTTGTCAAAGTCCGGAGCCAACTTTGCAAGGTCCTCTGAATCAGGAAGGGAATTTCTAATTTTCTCTGGAGGAGACACACACAAATAACCTCATTCATAGTTTCAAAGTAATAATTTAACCATTAAAGCATTAATAAAATTTAAATATCATCATATATAAATTTAAACTCCCATTTTCTTCCTATTATAACTACAGCTGCTACATATATCTGAAACAATGTGTTATTCTAATGATATTCCACGAGCCATAAAATTTAAAATAAAAGACTCACCGAACAAATGGTTTAGATGGAGACCTTCAATTTGTAAGTTAAATGCCTTGAGACAGAAACACTATTAACAATGTTAACAATAGATTGGAATCAGAAGTACTTTTTGGGAGGAAGTCTAAGCAGAGGCAGAGAATCAAAAAAAACAAAAGAAAGACATCTCTTGCAGTACCTGGCTAACTAAAAACTGATCACATTCCAGCTCAAGAACAGAATTTCCATTACTTCTCTCCCTCTTTTCATAGTCTATTACCAACTGGAAATAATTTAGAGCCCAAGGGAAGCTTTTATTTTATTTGAGTTGGCTTTATTTATAAAATGGTCAAAGCATTTATTTTTGTTTAAAAGCATTCAACAATTTTGTCCAAGTGACTTCTGAATTAGAAAGGGCTTTTCTCATTTTCTCTGGAGAAGACGAAAACACATAAATATTCTCAAAATAAGAATATATGCCAACTATTATTCTAGGTACTTTAAAAGCATTAACTTGATTACTCTTCAGAGCAACTTCACAAACTAGCTATCAGCCATTCCATTTTATATATGAGAAACTGGGGTACAAAGGTTATGTAACTGGACCCAAGCACACAACCAAGAAATAGGGCAGGCAGGGTTTAAGTCTAGGAGTTTAGGTTAAGAATCCAAGTTCTCAGACTACACCATGTACTGGCAAATATATTGAGTTACAAACCAATCCTCATGAATATCCTATATAATAAAGACATAAAATGCAAATTGACCCTCACACCCTCACAAGATGGGGGGTTAGAGAGGGATGACCAAATAACTGAACAGCCTGGGGCGACGTGAGAGATGTGAGGAGCAACCAGGCTGATAGGGGGAGCTTTTGGGGGGTAACCAGGTCGGTAGGGAGGACATTTGGAAGCAATTAGGATGGCAGGGGGAACAGTTAGGGGCGACCAGATTGGCAGGGGGGCAGTTGGGGGCAACCAGGCCAGCAGGGGGCCAGTAAGGGGTGACAGTTAGGAGTGACCAGACTAGCAGGAAGGGGGCAGCTGGAGGCAACCTGGCTGGCAGCGGGGGAGCAGTTAGGGGTGAGTAGGCAGGCACACAGGTAAGCAATTAGGAGCCAGTGGTCCAGGATTGTGAGTCGGATGTCAGACTGCGGTTTAGTAGGATCGGGCCTACACCAGCAGTCGGACATCCCCTGAGGGGTCCAGGATTGGAGAGCATGCAGGTTGGGCTGAGGGGGGACCTCCCTGCCATGCATGAATTTTGTGCACTGGGCCTCTAGTTAGAAAAATAACTTGAAAGAGTACTTTTTTGCAAATACCTTTGTCAACACAGCACAATTTTATCTTTAAGGAAGTGGTGTGAATAAGTGTATAATAGTAAGACATTAATTCCACTCCCATGTACACCCAAGCTAATAAATTAAACAGTTTTAAAAAAGAGACTGAGGAAAATAATTTCATTCAAAATGTTTTTTTTAAAAATCATCATGACTTACTGACAATCACAACTATCAAATATACTTTTGTTCACCTATCTATTGTTAGATGGGGGACAGTAGCTGACAATAGTGAGAAATTACTCTGGACACTGGCAGACTTTCAAAGAACCTGGTTACCAAAAATAGAGGTAACCAAGGTATCAAATTAAAAAGAGCTAGTTAAGTGGGTTATGGTGCATCAGTTCTGGGTATCATACAAATTAAAAATGATGTTAGAGAAGGCTGATTGGCAGTATGGAAAATTCTAACAAAATGTGTTAAGTAGCAAAAGATAAGACAGTAAAGTGTATGTTGACTATGATTATAATTTTAAAAAAGGAAGTGAAAATATTAACCACATACACAGAAATGGTACATTTAAAAGAGAATGCTCCAAAAAGACAATGGCTGTTTTGTTAAAGTGATGAACTAGTGGATACTTTTCTTTTTCTCATAAATGCTTTCTTTGTCATTCTGTTATTTTTATCATTAAAATAAAACTACTACACATTCAACTCAAGAGTTAGGAAACTATCTCAACACTACTAGTTCTTTGTCCCATAGAGATGACAAAAATAATTTGATGATACAAACCTATATCGATATAGTCATCAATTTCCCAAATAATGTCAGGCACAATCCATTTATAGTCACTAAGGTCTGGTATCATATCTTTCCATTGATCAAAAGTCTAAAAGATAAGACAGAATGCCAATCAAAGCTCTGCATGCAAAAATATAAGAAAAACTATTTTAATGAAAACATGCTAATCTACTAAGAACGATACATTATGTTCAAAAGTTCTAGCAAGAAAGTGGCCTCAACTCTTCTAAAAACAAACCAGCAGGCAAACACACAACAATGTAAATGTTCCTTTTCTTTCCGTACTAAAGAAAAATGTAAAAATATGAAATATATTCTCATTCAAACAGGTTTTATGATGTGGCTTTAAACAATACTGTGGAATAGAAGAAAGACAGACCTGGGTCAGGTCATGGGTGTGTCTCTGGTACCAGCCACAAAGTGGCTGCATAAATATACCACTAAGTTTCCTATCTGTGCCACTAAATGGCAAAGCTGAAAATCAAACAAAGTGTTCTCACTCGGTGTTTCTTCTACTAAGTTTTTTTTTTTTTTTTTTTTTTTAATCCTCACCCAAGGATATGTGGTTTTTTAAAAAAATGATTTGAGAGAGAGGGAGGGAAACATTGATATGAGAGAGAAACATCCATTGGCTGCTTCCCATACATACCCTGGCCTGGGATCCAACCAGCAACCTAGGTATTTGCCCTGAGAATCAAACTCACAACCCTTCCTTTGGTGCACTATGTTCCAACCAACTGAGCCACCACAGCTAGAGCTCCCCTGGGCCATTTTACCTCCAATACTTATAATTAAAGTTTGGAAGGCATTTTCCTATTGCTACGCACCGCTGCGACAATCCAGCATAATCCTGGCGGTGATTGTTGGTTGGAGTATCCTCCTGTGCACCAGAAGGTCATGGGATTGATTGTGAGTCAGGCATATACTGGTACCTGAGTTGCAGTTAGATCCTAGTCAGGGTTTGTGCAGGAGGCAGCCAATAACCAACCATTGTATCTTTCTCTCTCTCTCTCTTTCTCTCTCTCTCTCTCTCTCTTAACCATTTATTTATTTATTTACTTATTTATTTATACATAGTTTATTGATTTTTTTTTTGCCCCCTCCCCTCCTTCCCACACATCCCCTAACCTCCCCAGAGTTTTATGTCCATTGATTGTACTTATATGCATGTATACAAGTCCTTCGGTTGATCTATTATCTCCCCCAGATCACCATTGTATCTTTCTCACATCGATGTCTGTCTGTATCTGTATCTCTCTCTCTCTCTCTCTCTCTCTCTCTCTCTCCCTCCCTGCATCTCTAAGATCAATCAAGCAATAAAAATCTAGCATATAGTAGAGATATAATAAATATTAAAACATCTAATTATATTTTCTTGGACTAAAGAAAAATTACTTATGCTATAAAACCTTAATATAATCATGCTGAGTAATTAGAAAAGCAGTAGGAATGTTAAACTCACCTTTTTGGCTGTATAACCACCCCCAACAGCAGATCCCAGTACAAGATACCGAAGTTTTAAGAGTCTTGCAGCTAATCTTGCTGGCCAAAAATTCCTGTGGGGCTGGTAGCCATATTTAATTGGAGAAAGTTTCAATTTACGTAAAGGATGGTTAGTTAGAGAGGAAAACTGATGAAATGATGTCCTGAATTGGGTTCTTTGAAGCTTTGAAGTAGGATGATGTGAATGATAAATACTTCGTGAAACCAGATGCACTTTTTGTAGTGGGAGGCTTCCTTTTATTCCAGAGCTATGTTTCACTAAGGATTGGCAGACTTTGCTGAAAGAAAAATGGGTATGGGAGAAAGATCAGACAGGGTAACAATGCAAAGGGAATGAGATAAAAAGAACAACATACAAAAGGGAAAACACACATGCATACACAAGCACACATAGCCAAATACCATGTGAGGGAACTGAGAAGATGGCCATCTATAAATCAGGAAGCAGGCCCCCACCAGATACCAGATTTGCTGTAGCATGATCTTCTTAGCTTCTAAAACTATGAGAAATAAGTATTTTGCTTAAGCCACCCAGAGTATGGCAATTTCTAATAGCAGCCCGAAATCACAAAGACACGACGATAGATCAGAAGACAGATAAGTAAATGTTAGATCAGAAGTGAAGAGAAAGGATGATTATATTTAAGTTGCCCAGTTATAAGAAAGAAAAAACTAAAGTGAGGTAGCAGCAGTGAGAAAGAAAAGGGTAAGGTAGATAGTACCAGAATGACAGACCAGACATAAGAGAAGAGTTGTCTCACTAATTAGAAAGGTGTCAACAAGAAACCTGGAAGGCTGGTCAACCTTGAAGCTCTGAAAGGTCAGAGCCAACCACTCCCTATCTAATTAAGCCAAAGGTAACTGAGGCAACTTTCCCACCAAATAATCATATAAATCCTTACTGATAAGATAATATGCTAGTTACTGGAATTACCTGCCTAAGAGCAATGGATGTATCCCAAACCTGAATAAAAGGGATGGCAAAGCCAAAGCAAGGCAAAGTCCTCCCACTAGAGGTGGGCTCCCACATGGCCCTCAATATTTCCAAATTAATACTTTTCTAGCCTTTCATTTGTGTGCAGCCTTCTCCAAACCCGAATCCTGAACCAAGTGGGACGTGAAAAGGGTTCCCACAAAGAGGAAAGAAGAGTAAGTAATAACCATGAGGTTTTACCTGGGCAACTAAAATTACCACTTACAGTTATAAAAACTCAAAAGATGAATCAACTATGGGAACAGTTCATGGCTCCATAATATTTAGCTCAAATTTCTTTCAACTCTACTCGCACATCCACTTTTTTTTTTTTTTTTGAATTGGATAAAACTTTGGTTCCAATCACAGCTTCATTGCTTACTAGTTGGGCACTCAAAGGCAAATTATGAATTTACCCAAGCCTGTTTTTCAATCCATTTAAATAAAATAATAGTTATATTAGGAAGTTGCAATCGGTAATTACTAATTCAAGTAACTTATTCTCAGACCATGATTCCCTTTCACTACAACCAACTTTTACCTTATGGAACAACCAAATTACTGAAACTTCTATCTTCTTACCTATTAGTTTCCATCTTATCTACTTAAACACTTACCCATCTTAAATCCCCTAATTCATAGTATCAATACATCTTGTGTAAATACTCCAGACTCCCTTGCCCCCTGGCTTTTTGTTTTAACTGGCAAAATATAAACCCTAGATGATCCTTGTTATAGCTCTTCTCCCTGTCTGACCAGGGGAATGAAGCATTACTGAAGAATATCCCACCTTCTGGACAGACATGTCACCTAGGCTCTCAAGATTGTCGCACAGTCTTATTTCATTTCTCTTGTCCATACATTCTTCTGTTCTCTGCTAGAACTATTTCAGACATTTTCCACTCTCCTCTAGCCTCCCACATCTCACCATACTTCCTCCAACTCTCTGTAGATAACATGCCTCCTACTGCACTGAGAAAATGGAAGGTATCAGAAGGAAGCATGCTATCCACCTACCGCAGCTACAACTATATCCTCTGGCTCCCCCGCTCCTACAGCCCCTATGAGATTACAGCAAGCACTCAGAGAGTCCCTATTTCAAGCTCTCTTTCTCCTGCCTTTTAAGGAATCAAAAGTCAAGTCTCTCTCGCCTTAACAAAAAAGGAAAAAGGGACCCCATTTCATTTCTCTACCTACTCATTAAAAGTCAAATCAATCTGATTTTCATTTGTATCATTTAAGTGAAATGGCTCTTAAGGAGAGTGCCAAAAGCTTTCCACTGGACATTTGGTTTTTCTATTCCCATTTTAATTCTCTCTACAATATTTGACAATGTTGACACCTTCTCACTGTTGGAATTCTCTCTTCTTTGGCAATCTCTAGTTTTACTCTTATCTCATTGGTCACTACTTTTCACTTGCCTCCTCCCCAACTACCATACCTTTTAAATGTTAGTAGTTTATTAAAGTCAAGATCTAAACCCACTTCTCTTCTTACTATATATATTTTTCCTAGGCAATCTTCTCCACATCTATTTCCTTGATTACCACCTACATACTCATATTCCTCAAGTTTATGCCTAATACTAATAATTAAGGTCCAGATCCTGCTGTCCAATTGCCTACTCAACATTTCTACTTAGATATTGAAAAATACCTCAAATTCAAGATATCCAAAACCTTGTTATCTCTCCTCCTCCTCCCACCCCCACTAAGCCCTGATCTTCTTCCAGTATTCCTTATATCAGAAAACTGCATAAGCAGTACCTATCCAGTTACATAGGCCACAAACCTGGGGATCATTCTTAATCCTTCCTCACCCTCAAGTTCTGTTAATTCTACTTCAACATATATCTCAAATCCCCCCTTCCCCCAACTCCACTACAATCCTTCCTCACATGAGTGACTACAATGGTCTGTACAAGGTGTTCTCTCCACCAGAACACTTTTCTGAAATATAAATCTGATCACTGTCACTCAGCTGCATAAATCATTTAAATGTCACCCCCGCATTAAGAATAAAATCCAAACTCCTAGTCTATCAAGGCTTCCATGGTCTGGTGCCCATCCCTCTCCCTCTTATCTCCAGAGGGCTTTTCATCTAGTCCCATACTCCTTCCCATATCAGGGCCTTAATTCCTACTGTTCTTGGACAAACTCTTCTATTTGCTTAATTCCTGTTACTTCTATTAGAACTGGTTTCACATCAACCATTCCCCCTTTCCCTGAACTTCATTCTTATTCAAGTCCCCCTGCTACAGTTCTTGGCTCCTTGTATTTTTTCTTCAGTGCTTATGAAATTTATATTATATAGTTATTGATTAATAATTTTCTCTACCATTAAATAGCAATCTCCATAAGGTCTGTTTTTGCTTACCATTATATTTCTAAGCCTAGCCCAATGCCTCACAAATAGGAGACTCTCAATAATTTTGCTTAATGAATATATGTTTTGGGGGTAATTAAGTAGCAAATTTTTTAAAAAGGTGAAAGAACCAAGCAAAGATCACAGAAAAAAAAAAAAGCTCAATAAATGTCATTTCAACATTAATTGCACTAACCTCCATGAATGTATGAATGAATAGCTCTTTAACCCTAAAAAATTATTTGCAGTTTTTAGAAAAAAGTTCATCCAAATATATAACCAAAACATATGAACTGCAGGTTTGAGTAGTTATATCCCTAAGATGTTTTTTTAATTTTATAGTAAGCCCTCACTTAATGTCATTGATAGGTTCTGGTTCTGCAACCTGAAGCCAAATGATGCATAATAAGATGAGTTTTACTATAGACTAAACAAGAATTAAGTTCTTATGGCATCTGGCATCTCATCAATGTTATAATGAAACATCGCCAAATTCAATGACTTTATTCAAGAGCTTGCTGTTCTTTCTCCATCCTTGACTTCCAAACCCCTAAAATTCCTACTTCCATAATGATGGCAGAAATAGGTATGGGTGGGGGCAAAGATAGAGTGTATGATAGATAGTCCAAGTCAGGAGCTACATACAAAATGTTTTTCAATTAGTCCCCTGGAAGAGATAGTTGATGCAAAGCAAAATCCTCATATTCGAAAAGGCATCTTCAAAGATTACTTCTAGAGCTTCTAATTCAAAAGGGTGATCTAAAAGATCAATGAATGCTCATACAAGACTTTTTCTCAATAGCAGCCTTTTGAAATACTGGTAAGAGAATGAAAACAGGAGAAGAAATTGAGATTTATTGAAGCATCAACTGGGGAAAGATGGTTTGGGTCACCCTCCACCCTATTCCAGTGCAGCTGAGTGTTAACAGCAATACTTGTCTCTACACTAAGCAATATGGCAAGGAAGAGCTAAGACTCATGAAAGTGTGTGTGTGTGTGTGTGTATGGGGTGGGGGGAGGAAGAATAAAGGGGAGGTCAGGGTTTTCTCATTCCCAGAGTGGGCCCCAACAATACTGGTATTTGTAACATCAGATAGCCTGCCCACTCCCTAAAAACTCTAAAATGAAGCCTGCTCGCTGACATCATATACCTAAAACAGTTTGCTAAATCAGCTTTTTCATTCAGAGGTAACCCACACAGGCATCTATATACATCAGTAGTCCTTCATGTTTAAATATGATTAGATAACTACTAAGCTCTTAAAGAAAATCAGCAACTCTTAAAATGAGGACTAAGATAAACAACACTGTTAATTTTAGAAAAAGCGATGATACAAAATTCTAATACTATTCTCAGGGGGGCTTCCTAAAGATACTGCAGACACAAAAAATAGAAGCAGGTTGTATTAAAAATAGCAACTAGAAAATAATACAGAATTTACAGAATTGCACATCTTTTAGGAGTTTAGTAAATATAAAAAGGAGTTCATGAATATCAAAGCTGTAAAGGCCAACATAAAATAAAGAACAGAAACATCACACAATGATTTAAGGCAATTATCCAGAACTTAGAATACAAAGAAATGAATAGAAACCATATGAGAAAAGTAAAGTGATTCAGAGGAGTGGTATCCAATCCAGTATTCCCAAAATGATCTACTGGGATTCAGGAAGAAAGTACCAAAGCTTCTAGATACAGGTTGTTTTGTTTTATTTTGTTTGTATCTTGTCCTTCAAGACTATATTAGGGTCAATTTAGAATGTAAATAGTTAATTAGTACAGAAGTACATTTATAATCTTTTTAACAGAAAGGCCTACTGAGTGTCAGACCAGATGACTGGGGGTTAGGAGTGGGAGGGTAAAGAGTAGGAAAGGGGTAAGACCCACACCTGGACAAAGCCTTGAGTTAAGGCCAAAATCCTATGAAGGGAAAAACAGGGGATGGGGGGTAGTAGCAATACCTTCACAGTCCTAAAGAATTTTGAAGGGACTTCCATGTTCAGCCAAACTAAAAATCAAAAATGAACCAACATAAGGTTTTCACCCCTGAAATCATCTGTTCTCTCTCATCTTCAGAATCTCAAGATGTATTTATTTTTTCAACAATTTTACACAAATATTTATGGCACCTAAATAAACGTTGTTAATCTTAGAAAAAGTGATGATACAAAATTCTAATACTATTCTCAGTTGGACATTGATCTCCTTACATGTCCATCATCACATATTTAGACAAATGATTCAAAAATATTTCTGTTCCTATTTGTTAAAGAACAGGAAATTAAATGTGCTTCTTCATAACATGTAGAGGAAGCATGTTGTATGTTGCATAACAAAAGACAAATTGCAGAGCTTGGGGTTTTGACTTTTTGCATCTCTACTTCTGCAGGTAGCTAATTGTGATATCAATGTAAGATACCATTATTAATCCAAAATCTATGGAGTCCACAATAACTTTAGATTTAATGTAGCCCAACAGCATCCAACTGAATAAACAGACATCAGTTATCAATTTGTTTTTAAATTCAATTTTAAAGTTTTTCCTACAGACATTAATTGCTTCAGCAAAGTATGCTATTTTCTGCAATCTTTCCTCTTATTTAAAGAAAATTAGATGTTTCTCCAGTAAATACTGAGTAGAAATAAAAAGGTTGTAAATAACTTTAGTATTGAGGACTGTGGATTTACTTAGAAGTTAAAATTTAATGGAATTAGAAATAATTTATTCAACTATTCTATTTGAAAAAAAAACTATAACTATTATATGCCATCCAGTTCTGAATATAAACTCAAGATAAACTTCACAAAATAAATGGATTTTATTCTTTATACAGAATAGATAACTTTATACGTATAGTTACCTAAACTATTTTAAACGCTCTGAGAAAATTCAAGACTCGTGTTTACAGACTGAGTTAAATCGGGAAAACCGAGTTTTTTCTTCAGCCTTGCTTAAAGTATATTACTTTTTATCAAATGCCTGCAAGAATGAGTGAACTCTAAAGGTATCTAAGGATATTAAAATACAACTACAGGGCTGAAGCCAGTTGCCTAGTGGATAGTGCGTCTAGCTGAGGACTGAAGGGTCCCAGGTTCGATTCTGGTCAAGGGCATGTACCTTGGTTGCCCGCACATCCCCAGTAGGGGGTGTGCAGGAGGCAGCTGATGGATGTTTCCAACTCTCTATCCCTCTCCCTTCCTCTCTGTAAAAAAATCAATAAAATATATTTAATAAAATAAAATAAAATAAAATACAACTACACGTAAAGATAGTCGTTTAAGTCTCATTAAAATGCATAGAGACACCCACAGAAATGAAAAGTCCTCTATGACTTTCTTATACCAGGCCAAGGCGACAAAATCACAGTGTGATTAGAAGGTGGTGCCACATTTCCCACCTTGCATCCCAAACCAAGCCTCCTTCCCTAAACTCTGAAAAAGGCTGCTATTAAGAGGGTATCTTCATTCTCCATCTCTGCCACCGCAGGCGTCACTGCTGCAGACCTGGCTCCCAAACCGCGTTACCTCAGCGAACTAGGGCGAGAGGCAGAGTCCCCTCCATCCGGGAAGAGAGGGCGCGGACCCGCGGGAGCAAGTATGCCCGGCGTGGAGAGAGAGGAGTTAAGAGAGACGTGGAAAAGGTGGCACACAGATAGAACCAAAGACCGGGGAGGGAGAGGGCAAAAACAAGAAGCAGCTGGAGGCAGAGATGACGGCGAGGTCAGAAGGGTGAAAAGGGCAGGGGCAGCTGAGACAGGCCAAGGCTGAAAGGCGCCCAGAGCTTCTTGGGGGACAGGAACGGGGACAAGGACAGTGCAGGAGCTAGCAGATCAGGTAAGCCCAGCGAGGGCTCCAGTCCCTCCGGGCCCTCCACAACATCCCGGGATCCCCCGACCGCCGGCACTGAGAGTTATCTGCACATCTGTCAGTAGGATGGGGCAAACCCGGTTCCCAGAGGCCCTAGGAATAACGGGGCCAGGTCGCAGCCTGCACTTACCAGGCCACAGCGGCCCGGCGTAGACGCCACATCCCTCCCGCGAGGAGGTCACACCGGCGCTGAGGCGGCCGGGCGGGAGCCGGGTGTCAGTCCCAGTCCGGCTCCTGCTCCGGGAATAACCCAGGAAAGGGCCCTGGGCAACAAGGACACAGAGAAGCCACTGCGGCCCTCCCAATGGCGCATGGACTTCCGCGAGAGCCCGCCCGGCACCCGTACTCGGTCCGTCCGGCAAACAGCCACCCCCCACGCCTTCGGAGAGGGCAGCACAATCGTTCCGGGCAGGACTCGCGCATGCGCTCGGAGCCCAGGCACATCTACTTTCCTTCCCCCAACCCGCTCCGCAGGCTGGGTTTCCGGGTTGGAATTCTGAGTCCCGCGGGTGGAAGACTGGAGCTGGGGAGTGAGTGAGGAGTCCGGGGTGTTTGCGCTGGTGCGGACGATGGTGAGGGGCTTGGACTCGGGATCGATAAATTCTCACTGGTTGGAAGCACTCTGAGAACATTTAGGTTTTGAGGGAGCCTGGAAAATTCTACAGAGGACAAAATGAGGACAATAATAGACTAGTAAAAACCCACGCTGCTCCTTTGCCCCAGCCTTTCTTTAGGCGCCTTTGTTTGCAGAGTATTTTCCTATCTTTAGAACAATCTCAGGGGAGGCGGGAAGAGGAGTCACTGACAGATCGGAAGGTCACGTCTGAAAGGGACTCGGGTCAAGTAGGCCAGTTATGGGATTGGAATAAGCTTGTGCACTTTATAAAGGCATCAAAGATGATTTTGTCCCATCAGTCTTTCACCGGTTTTCCCACGCTGTCAGCAGTCACTGACCTCTCAGCACTCAGCTCAGAATGTTGGGTGCTCGGCACTCTCCGGAGTCAGCTGCCCTTCTTGGTTTTCAGGACATTACATTCTCCTTTTCCTCCCCACTCTCTCGTGCTGGTTCCTCCTCCCCTCCCAAACCTCTCAATGTTGGAGGGACCCAGATCTAGAGATCTTGGGCCCCTTCCCCTTTCTGTCTTCATTCTTTGTCTAAGTAATCTAAGAGTGTTCTATGGCTTTAACCCCTTCCCCCCCCCCCTTTTTTTTTTAATCCTCTTCAATTCTTATTTTGGTTTTATGAGGAAACTGGGATCCATTAGAGGAATATGACCTATGAAAGGTAATGAAGGCAGTTGGTGGCATAGCCAAAATTAAAGTACCCTATGTCCCTGCTTCAAAGGCATCACTCCCCTCCCCCAAACACAAAGCATAAAACAATTTCCTTTCAGATCAGAATCCTAGATTAGTATCTATCCATTCACAACAGCACCCAGTATACTTTCCAAATGCAGGACTCTGGGAATGTTTTAAATTATGTTTATTGTGGTGACTGTTTTAATGGCAGGCCCAGAGAGGAACTTGCTCTAATGACCTGTGCAAACTAGATCTTTCCAGGATTGTAGAGCTGCACAAAAATTTTTTTGTTTCTCTTACTTGCTAGTTGCTTGTGGGATTCTGTGTATATGTGTTTCAAGAATAAGAGAAATCAAATAATATTAACCCCTTTCATACATGGGTCATCTTTACATTATACAAAACCATTGTTTGGGATTATATCTCTAGGCATTTGTCCTACTGAAACACTCCTAGTATGCACAAAGATGTATGCATGATGATGTTTATTTCTTCATTGCATGAAATAGCAAAAGATTGGAATCAATAGTTAAAAGATGACCTGAGGCATGTTGAACACTTTAAGAATTTATTTGATAAAAAAATGTATTTGAGAAGGGCAATGACCAACTGGAAGTGTTTGGAAGTGCTCCACCAACAGGAGCTAGATGGAACACTTCTCTAATCACCAGAAAGTAAAGCACAAAATTATTTGATGTGCTATAGCTTAAATGGTTGCCTTTTTTGGGAAAGCTTAGTTGGCCGTTAGTGATTGATTGTCTCAGGTTTTAATTTATTAACCTTAAAACATTTACAAGCTCGGGTTTTGGGTTGCTTTGTAGGCTGACAAAGCATTAGAACAATCTCAGTCTAATAGTCCTTTAGTTTAATTAATTTAACAACACAAATGGCCATAGCTAAGAGCTACTTATAAATTACATTCACACTAGCCAAGAAAGCCTGTGAGGTCTCTTTGTCCTGATGAGGAACAATGTTTAATATATAGTATACAAGTGGGAAAAGGGGCAGCATATTAGTAATCAGACTGCCACCATTAGTCCAAATTCAGCCTGCAGACCTGTTTCATTTGGCTTGTGTTGGACTTTTCAGCATTTTAAAAATAAAGTTTTAAAAGATATGGTTTCTCTTACAGTATCAGGTCTAACAACATCAAGCCTACATGCAAAAAAAAAAAAAAAAAAAAAAAAGTCAGATGAAAAAAGGAGCCAGGTAGTCGTAGTTCTTGCATATCTTCAGACATGCATGTCCTGTCCAGGAGTTCACATTCCTTCCTCAAGTCATTCTGAAATGGAAGAGTTCATCAATTGCCATGTATCATGAAGCTTGTGCTTTTATTTTCTTTAGTAAATCAGAGGAAAGGGAACCTCTATTTTATATCAAAAGGGAAAAACTGAGAGGGTCACATGTTTCCAAAACAAGAAAAAAGGTTGATTTTTTTCACCCAGAAGTAAAGAACATAATTATGCAAACAAGTTATGTGGTGTTGAAAGAATGCCATTTAAGATGGTATTGTACAATAAACACATGGTCATTATTCATCTTACATGCCTGACCCAGGAAAGTATTTTGAATTGGTGCATCCTAGTGAAGTGCAGTGTAATATGGTGATTTATAATAAGAAAGGTGTATTTGGTCTTAGTCCTCTCTCCTGGCTAACAACTTCCCAAACCCTTGATATTTCATAAGTGACCAGAGCAAAAGGGACATCTTCTGTTATAACACTGGTTTTTGTCCTGACATATCTGCAAAGTGACAAATGTGAAAGAAGTGTCTTGTTATTCATCACAAGTCCCTTTCAACAACATCTGAGTTTATATTAATGAGGCAACTTTTGGAAAGCCGCTAATGATGGGGGCTAGTTACCAGGGCAACCAATCACCTGACTAAAGGATGAAATCAGCCCCATTCTTACCTCTGAGGAGGATGAATAAATATCAGTGGCCAACTTTTATTATTTTTTATTTTAATTTTTAAAAATATTTATTTATTTCAGAGAAAAAGGGGGAGGGAGAAAGACATAGAAACATCAATGATAGACAGAATCACTGATCGGCTGCCTCCTGCACACCTCACACTGGCGATCAAGCCTGCAATCCAGGTGTATACCCTGATCAGGAATTGAACCAGGACCTCCTGGTTCATAGGTCGACACTCAACCACTGAGTCACTCCAGCCAGGCAAATGGCCAATTTTTAAATCAATTATGCTTAAGTAATGAATCCTCCAAAAAAGCCCAAAGGACATAATTCACAGGACTACCAGGTTGGTGAACAGGAATGCACCCGAACTCAGGAGATAGAAGCTCCTATGTTTGGTACTTCTGGAATTCACCCAAGTTTGTCTTCATCTGGCTGTTCATTCATGCCATTTAATATCATCTGTAATAAATTGGTAATCTAGTGAATACACTGTTTTCCTGAGTTCTGTGAGCTACTCCAGTAAATTAATCAAATCTGAGGAGGGGGTCATGGGAACCTCGGGTTCACAGACAGTCATTCAGAAATACAGGAATGTCTGGACTTCTGATGAGAGCCTCAAGTGGGAGAGGGAGACTAGTCTTATGGGACTAAGCACTTAACCTGTGAGATCTGAGGCTAGCTCTTAACAGTGTCAGAATTGAGCTGAATTGCAGGGCATGCAGCTGGTGCCAGGAGAATCTGAGAACTGCATGGTGTGAAGGAATCTACTCCCTAAACCCACTCCCAATACATTTGGTTAGCAGAAGAGTCAGAAATAAGCAGAGTATTCAGAAAGTATTGAAAGTAGACACGCAGGATGAATGATTTTCTTGATAAGTAGGTAAGAACTTGAAGATGGTGGGTCATGAGTGGAGGGAAGACTTAATTGTATTGTAAACCCTGTATTGCATACTCTGAATTTGTTAATCTGGTTTTTATGTACTTCAATAAATGGACATTAAAAATATTTTTTCTGGCCCAGGAGTCATGAAGTGACTTTGCTATTTTAAGATAAATCCACAGATTCATTTAGGAATTGAGCAATCTACTAGTTAAAACTCTTAACACATTACCTTTACTTGCAAAGAGACACTTTTCAAAGTTTTTAATAAAACAGGTATCCAGAAAGGAAGATAGTGGGAGAGGTTAATGGAAACTTCAATATATGCATTTGTTTTTTTAAGTTTTATATTTAAATTGTTACAATTGAAGTTTTTGCAAAGTTCTTCTTGGGAGGTGCCCAAGTCCCTTGACTCAGCACCCTTCCTCTGCAGTTTCCTGGGAAGGGAAACTAGCTAAGTCATACCTATTTGCACAGTCATTGTTATCACATTCTCCCCACCACTCAGAAAAGCATGGCACTGTCCTCACCAACAGACATTTATAAATCATTTCCTATGAATTATGCTCTGGGAATATATATATAGTAAAAACCCATTTCCTACTCTCATATAACTATGGTCTGGTTGGGATGACAGACTTATACATACTGAGGACCAAGTAAGGGGTTACTAAGTATAAATGTAATGGGATAGAAAGAAGCTAGGAAAATTCCTGGACCAGTGGAATAGAGAAACCGAGACAAAAAAATTAAATAAGGCCAAATGGGTTGGGGATTTTGCTCTTGTAAAAGAGACCCCACAGAGCTTCCAGCCCCTTCCAGCATGTGAGGGTACAAAGAGATGTTCATATATGAACCATGAAGCAGGCTCTCACTAACCAGAATGAGGTCATTCTTGGACTTTCCAGTCATCAGAACTATGAGAAATAAATTTCTGCTCTCTATAACCTACCCAGTTAATGATATTTTGTTCTAGCAGCCTGAATACACTGACACAACTCAAAAATGAACACAAAAATTCAAACAAGCATTGCATAAAGGAAAATATATATATATATTTTTTT